TGGTAAGGGTAGAGTTAGTCAATTGTCAGAAACAGTAAGGATATCTTTAGTCAATTTTCAAACAATAGGGGTACACTTAGTCAATTAGCTAAACCATAAGGGTAGTTTAAGAAATTTACCCTATTTCTTTCTACAACAATGTATGATGATTTTGGTGTACCATCACAGAATTTAGCCCTAGCCCTTGGGCGCAACCTGTAGTGTAGGAGACAACGAATTGGGCTTGGCTTTGTGGCCCAACTAATGTTGGACCATTCCATCTTTGTTGATCAGTTTCCTTTTAGGGCCTATTTGGTTCGTGATGATTATCGAGATGACATGTGTCTTTAATTCTTTATGCAAAAACAAAATATAAATGAAAATTGTAGCCATAAAATGGACAATTGTATACCAATATAAACAGATGGACTGACAAAGATCTGACTCTTATAAAATCTAACCCATAATGAACTGGGTACCGAGGTGCATTGCTCAGCAATATAGGTATTGGAAAACCCAAAGGTCTCCCTCTCTTTAATGGTGTGCATCTTTATTAATCTAGTCATAAGCAATGATTACATTTTTATAATTTTAAAACAAAAAAAAGGAAAAAATGCAAAAAAATAGAGAAATAGATAAATAGCTTTTCTTAAAGGATAGGTATGCAAATATGAACTGTTGCTTGTGAGGGGAAAAACATTATCCCAATTAGGTGGATTAGTCCTACAATGGAATCAATTAAAATTAATTTTGACACCTCCTACATCAATGGTAAGTGTACCATTGTATGTGTGGCTAGAAATCTTTTTAGCCCAGATATTGGACCTCAAGGCTTATAGGGTTGGTGAAACCACTATCAATATGGCTGAAGCATGGGCTGCATGGGAAGCCCATAAAGTGGCTTTGATGAACTTCCCAATAAAGAATATCACTATTAATGGTGACTCCCAACTTTTTATTGACTGTCTGAATAAGCTTGTGGATCCCCTATGGAGAATGGCATCAATCATAAAGGGTTGCAGATCATTGATTGAGAGATTTGAAGGCAAAGTGGAGTATCATCACACCTAGAGAGAAGGCATCATTGTAGCGGACTGGTTGGCAAACTTCGCTCACTCAAACGATGTATGTAGTTCTTTTGTGCCAAGACCCTTAAGTGTAATTAGCTATTTTAATTTCTGGGGGTGTTTCACCCCATTCTTTGTAGCCCCTTTTCCCGTATCTATAAAAAAAAAAAAAAACATTTCAAATAGGCTTTTGAGGCTCAAGAAGACAACCTTACAAATAAGAAATAACTCATTGACAACCAATTTGGACTCTCTAGGTTTTTTTGACAAAACATAGCTTGTAACTTCATTGACTATTAATATGGGACCTACTTCAGCGAGCTAAAAGCACAATTACTTCTTGATTTCCAAGGTGGGCTCTATACACACAACCTTTAACCATAAGCTATGATTGGTGAAAAACCATGAGAGCCCAAATTGACTTTTAAGTTAGGTGACGTTTGATTGCACTTTTTAGACGTCTGAATATGAAAATGTTGCTTTTTAAATGCCACATTTATTTGGTGTTGCATCTGAAATTTGATTACCCCTCCACATTCGATCTCTCTCTCTCTCTCTCTCTCTCCCCTTGTCTTCCCACCACCGCCACCATCACTACAACTTGTAGCAACAACGACTCAGTAAGTATAATAATAATAACTTTATTAATTATTTTAATATTTTTATAGTTATTAATTTTAATCACTTCATTTATTAATTATTAATTTATTATTTATTACTTATATTGTTTCAATATTATTTTGAGGTTGAAAATTATGTTTTATGAGATAATGCAAATTGAACTCAACATTTCCAAATAGTATGTTCTAGGGGTAAAATAGTAAAATCAGTAAATTTCAGATGGTAAAGGGTTTATCCAATAGAAATAAACTTATGGATTCAAAGCCTCTAAAAAGTAGAAAAGCACCTATACTTCTTTTTAGATTTCAGACAAAAAATATCTTTTTAACTTTTCATATTGGAAAATTCAGATTTATCAAATGCCACTTTAGTCATTTGTTTTGAGTTATCCACTTTAAGCCGAGTCCGAATGAGTTGGAGACAAAATCTTACACACTCGAGTGAACTACCAATCACGGTTGAACACACCAGTACTTACTGTGCACCCCATGTGAGACCCAGTTGTACTGAACACTGGCGTGTTCAACTGTGATAGATAGTTCCACTTTTGTCTCCAGCTAATACGCTCCCCTTTAAGCCCGGCTTTAACAAGCCTAGCCCAACCCCAATTTAAAATTCTATGTTGAGGCCTACGTTTTGTGTTCAAACCTGATTCGGGCCCACCCACACATATACATATTTATATGTGTTATTTTGTCTTAAATATATATATATATATATATATATATATATATATATATATATATGTATGTATGTATGTATGTATGTATGTATA